AGACATGGGTGTTACAAAATAGACCTAGGGATAAATAGACTCAATACAACGTTGAGTTGATATATGGGTTGGATTAGACTCGGGGTGAAATAAACCCGATAGTGAAATAGATCCGGCATAGCCTTGAGCTGACATATATGCATGGTATCTGGTATTTTGGGAACTCACTGAGCATTGTGCTTATATTTTATGTTTAGGGTTTTAGGTACTTCCAGTTCGAAAGGAAAGGGTCTGACTTGATCGCAGTGCATCCACCAATGTTTCTGCTTTTTATGATTTTGGGATTGTACTCTGATAACTATTTCCACTTTAATGTGCTTTCGAATGGTTGATAAAAATAAATGATGTTTATATGTTGAACTAAAAATGAGATTTTCACCTTATGTTTTTGGGTCTTTACATGGGGGGGGGGTGTAGGTTTGGGTTCCTTCTTATATTTTTAATTTCATAAAATATTAAAAAAACCGATTAAAGAAGAAATTTCAATTGAACTGCCCTTAACCTTGACACTTAATTTCAATTTGAACAGGGACCTCATCTACAACAAAACATTCTGAAATGGACGAAATTTATATGTTGGAAACTTTTTTGGAATTTAGTCAAAGAAAATTGCAAACCATTGTGACCATTTTTGAAATTTACTCTTTGAATTTTCATCGTGATAGAAAAGAGAAGAACAATGTATCTTGAGAAATATATGCAAATGATATATTGGATGGAACTGTTTATTATTCTATTTGGGGGTACGTTTAGTGAAGAAAATGAATAACATGTTAAAAATCCATGAATCCAAACATGCTTTTCTAATTAAATGAAAATCATATTAAAATGCCAAAATTTTAATTACGTAACATTTTGTTTTCATTTCATTTATCTACATAGTGATGTGTTTATATAATGAGAGATCCATGTTATAACTTTGGCACAAAATTTTATTACCTTTTTTTTATATTCAAACAACATATTGTAATGGAGTTTTCTACATGTTTTTCGTTCATCACAGGCTTAATCTTAATGCTTTTGCAGCTGTTGTTGTGGAATAGAAGCTTGTATGCTAAGGGATGCTATACGTCCATCTTTAGCTTTGGTGACTCCCTGGCCGACACGGGTAATGTTAAACAACTCGCTGCCATATCCCACATGGAAGTTCAGACTCTTCAGTTTCCTTATGGTGAAACCTTCTTTCATGAACCCACTGGTCGTGCCTCCAACGGACGCCTCGTCATCGATTTCCTGGGTAACTCATCATCGATTTGAAATGATTCATAGTTGTAGATATGTGATATCTTGTAAATAGTATCTAATAGAGTACATACTATAATTGGGTTAAACGTTGCATTTAATTTTATAGGAATAAAGTTATTCATGTTCTATGTGAATTAATGACTTTACATTTTCTTGCTGTTCGTGAACCTGAGAGTCTTGGGTTGCCACTAATACCACCGTTTCTGCATGATAATGAGAGTGACAATATGGTGGCGTTGGGACCATGAGTTAATTATGCAGTCGTGGTAGCAATAGCATTGGATACATCATTTCATGAAACAAGAGGGATTGTTGGTCCTACAGCAAACATATCTTTAGGAGATCAATTGACATGGTTTAAGCGATCATTGGCTTCTATTTGCAGCAACGCTTCTGGTAATGACACATTAAGTCATTGTGATATATACAATTATCTGATAATTTTATAAACTATTTTAAATTGTCTAAATTATATACCACACATATTATAATCTATATATAACGGGTATCAAAATGTATAAACAAAAATATATATTACAACATTCAGTAAGATAAAAATACAAAACATCTATTATCACATTTGTATTAAAAGAAGATATATATACAACGAATAATAAAAACTATAAAAAAAAAAAAAGGCAAACACTACAACTTTTAAAAGCATAAAGACACTAAAACATTAGTTATAATATTTATGTGAACTCTTCATATTTAAATCACGAATCTCTTCAAATACATTAATGTTTTTATAGAACAAAACTTTATAACCTTATAAACCAAAGAAAAATAAAAAAAAAAAAAAATTATTATTGATTATTAATTAATAATCATAAGTTAAAAACTCATAAATTGTAACTAATAGATATACATAAAATAGAAACTCTTGAGTTGTAGTGTGACTTTCAAATGAATACGTATATTTATTATTAGTATTATTATTATTATTATTATTATTATTATTATTATTATCTAAATAATTGGTTTCGATGTATCATTTTAATTACTCCAATTTAGTAAACATAAAGATATTTAATTATAAATTTATAACATATATATGTGCATATATATGTTGAACAAATCACATATAATATATATTTTGGTAAATGTCATATGTAATTCTTGTAGTAATATGAATTATATACTTTCATGTGAAGAACATTTCATGAGAAGTCAATCATAATTACATATCAAATGTTATAAATTATGTTATGTTTTAAATATTTTCTTGTAAATATGTTGTGTAGGATAACCCAATAAAAAAATAATAGAAAATAAACATAATAAAAATAGAAAAACTACAATCAAATAAATAAGAACACTGTGTGGTATATTATATAATTTTTTTTTATGTAAATGTACATTTAAATCAAAAGAAAAAACTAATATTCGTATACTTTGCTCAAACAAAAAAAAAACTATATTTGTTTTCATAATCTATTTTCTTCATTTAACACTATTCAACCATAGAAACTTGATGACAATTCTTCACTAACCTGCAATGAAAATGTATTTTCTTGAAAAAAAAAAAAGAATCAGAAAGATATTCCAAGCAAAACATTGATGTGTGGAGAATCACATTCAAGATTGAGTAGTACACAGAAATCCCATATAAAGATCAAATAAGAAGCTAAATATAAAGAAAGAATAGAAAACCTTCAATTATTTTGGTTGAAAGAAAAATCATATTACATATCATCGATGCGACATAACCCATTTCTTCAAATTATCATACTTGGATCGTGAATGCTTTATGTTGAAGATAATTGTGTTTCGTCTTGGGCCCTTTTGTTTTACAACCGGATTGGGCTTGTCAATCCGTGTTCAACTAGATTAGCCTTCTTTTTCTTAGGAAAACTGTTAGGGATTCATTATAAATATATGCATGCATGTATGCGTATAGTAACGGTTGTCACTCTCATTGATTATTTGTAAAACCTAAAATCCTCTACAGTTGATGTTCTTTATCGAGCTCTTCTGAGGATTGTTTATCAAATCATTCGACACCTTTTGATCCATTCACTTGTTCTTAATTGATTATCTAAGCTGTTTCTTTTCCTGTTTCATAGATCTAATCGATCTTCTAGTTTGTATTAATTTCAACAATTGGTATCAGAGCAGGAGCCTGTGTAATCGATACACTTCTTTTCTGTGAAAAAGCTTCGATTAGGGTTATTCCGCATTCATTGATATTTATTGAGCCGTCATCTCATAATTGACGTATCTCAATATTTATTGTTTTTGCCCTAATTTTATATATTACAAGTCTGATCTTTGAACAGGGTATTCGATCAATTATGGACGAGTCACAATCCAATCCCATCAATATTTCAGACAGCATTGGATCAACAACTAAGATTCCCATCCTGTACACCCATGATTATGAAGTCTGGGCGAATCACTTTGAGGATTATGTCATAGGATCTGAGGATAATGGATACCTCATCTGGGAAGCAATTATCTCTGGACCGTTTTCTCATTCAGCAACTTCAAGGATTATTAAAACTCAAAAGGAGTATAATGATCTTCTAAAAGATGTTAAAGATGTAGCGCAAGACGAAAAAGTTAAATTTCAATGCAATATCAAAGAGCTAAGATTGATCAGATTTGCTCTTCAATCCGATACTTTTAGGCTGGTAAGTTCATGCACGACTGCAAAAGAAATATGGGACAGGCTACGTGAATTGTACTCTAGAGATGAAGATCTTGAACACTCCATTCAAACTTTACTCTTGTCTGAGTTTTGGTGAATTCAAGCAAGGAGCAGAAGAAACGGTGACTCAAACGTTCGATCGCTTCAATCATCTTCTTAGCAAGATGATCAAACATGACATAGAAAGAAAGCTTATTGAACATAAGGTTACGTTCTTGAATGGACTCACGTCTGAGTGGAGAGTAATCGTGTCCACAGTTAAAGCACACGAGCAATTCAAATCCTATTCTTTGGCGAAACTGGTGGGCATCCTAAAATCTCAAGAAAAGATCGTATTACAGGAGAAAATCGTGGTTTCAAGTCTAGGTTCGTTGTCCCTCCTATCGAAAAGCAAAGCTGTGATAGAGGACGAAGAGCTCAACTTGGATGATTATGATCTCACGTCTGAAGACTACGCTATGATGGTGTCAAACCCTAAGAGATTCATCAAGACGAGATTCCCCACCAACAGGAACCGAAACTGGCAAGGAAGCTATAGCGCTGAAAAGGTCAAAGATGAACCGAAAGCTGAAGAATCAAAGAAGGAACCGAAGGCTGAAGGAGATTCTGGAGTAAGCTGCTACTATTGTGGAGGCAAGAACCATTATGCAAAAGATTGCGTCCTCAAAAAGATGGCAGAAAAGAATGAAGAAAATGATGAAGAAACTGTGTTGATGAAAAATCTTGATGAGTTAAGGAAGAAGAAATCTGCTGCTAACCCTTCTATGAATGCTTTAATTGTGCAGGGCTCGGTAGCTGATGATGAGTTCGGTGGCGTGGAGGTCTGGTCAACCGACTCCGAAGATGAAGAAGTAAGGAAGCCCTCACATAGAAAGGCCTATGTAGAAAAAGAAGAAAGTAGTGGAGGAAGATGCTTGATGGTGTTTGACGTTTCTCAAATGAGGGGATACAACACTGATGGTGGAAATAATGACAAGGAACAGCAGAATCTGTGCTTTACTGCCAAACCACTCAGCGTGCAGTTCAACGAACTTGATGAACTGATCAAAAAGGTACAATCCGTTTTTGTCTCATTTAAAGTCCCACTATGCTCTTATGAAAAGGAATTAAAAAGTGTTAATTCGAGAATCTCTCATCTAGATAGTAGTTTAACTCAAACTCGGGTCACCAATTCTAACCTAACTGATCAATTAAGTAGGGTGTCTTCGAAGAGTGAGGAACGGCGGATGTGGATCGAACTGAAGGAGTCGGAGTTAATCAAAATAAAAGATGAAAACATTTATTTGCAAAGAGACAATTTAAAGCTTTTGAAACAGTGAAATGTTTTTTTTGTCTAATTGCCAAACGTCTTTATTCTAATATTTCTCAGCTTCATTTGAATTGTGAAATAGGGCAAAAGATTAATCGCATGATTTTACCCTTTCTTGAGTTTAAGGAAGATGAAATTGATGCTGATGCTTATAATTGTGAGAGTATTATTTCGTCTGAGGATGTTAATCCAACATATTTGTATGGACTGGAGAAAATAGAATCTTTCATAAAATCCAAGGACCACAAGAACATGCTCAAAAATATTTTGGATGAAAATGATAAACAGAAGCTAAGAACCGAAACCATACAAAAATTTGACTCACTGAATGTCAATTTGAGCTCAGAAAATAAGATTGATGTTGAAAATGCATCTGAGCTTAATGAAGACGATAATATGAGTGAAATTTCTGTAGAGGACATGGTTGATTGTTCAGAATTTGTCAAGAATGAACCAGAGAACCACAAAAATCTTATTTCAGAAAATTATGTGGAGTTTGCTCGGTTGTCCCAACAAAAGTCCCCGACTCTTGTAGAGAAGGCAGTTGTATACCAAAAGGTTAGAACCACTCCGAATCAAGTGTACAAAGTCACAGGTGTAACCGAACATCAGACTATTGAACTAACAGCTATTGTGAACGAAGACAATGCTGATGGCTGTGATGAGTTCTTCTGGTCAGCTCCCATTGACAATGCTAATGAAACGATAGGTTTGTCAGAATGGACTTCATGGAAAAGCAAAGGCAGATACATACCAGAACCTTTAAATAAACCTGATGTCTTCAACGTGGCGAGTACCAGTGGAACTAAAGATGTCCCTCAAGAGAAAGAAATTCCTGCAAAAGGAGTCACATCTCCAAGTGCAACTACATCAGTTCAGAGTGAATCAGTCAATGAAAATCAAAAACATAAAGCTAACATCCATCATCAACCAAAGCAGATGAGAAATCAAAAACGAGAAAGGAATCAGAGATACATGAAGAATCTTTCAGAGAGAAAACAATTTTGGCAATCGCAAAATGCCTATTTCTCATATCAAGACAGGAATTTGAAACCAACAAAAAATCTTGTTGGATCAACGGAGCAAAGTAGTAATCGAAAGCAGAGTCTCGGTTCTGAGCAAAGTAGTAACCAAAAGCAGAGTCTCGGTTCTGAGCAAAGTAGTAACCGAAAGAAAAGTCTCGGTTCTGAGCGAAATAGTAACCGAAAGCAGAAGCTCAGTTCTGAGCAAAGCAACAACCGAACGCATAGATTCGGTTCAGAGAATGATTTCTACCAAAAGTACAGGTTCGGTTCGGAGAGCAAAAGAGACCAAAAATCTAGGTTTGGTTCCACTGATAATCAAAACCGAAAGAGTCACCTAGAATATCAAATCAAGAAATCTCATTCTTCTTCTCAATCTCATCCTAATTCTTCCAATCATTCCTCATATCAATCTCATTCTAAATCTCCAACTGACCTAAAA